ATTGGTTTCCTTGATTTAGTTGAATTTGTGTCATCCCATGTTGAATACGTGAAGAAGGTAAGTGTTAATGTATTAGTAATGGAATTATATCAAGTAACTTTTACATGGTCATACATGATAATCGAAGCAAATTTTAATAGTTATGAACGTAGTTTAACAAGTTAGTCAACATGTTTGACTTATATAAAACAACGTCAGTTGTGAATAACATTTTCTTTCTCTGTCTTTGTGCCCGATAACCTCCACAAAACCTTCTCTCTTCTACCCCCAAAATAATGACGATAAGGCTTCATAACTCGACTCCTTCGTCTCCGCCAATATATATATATATATATATATATATATATATATATATATATATATATATATATATATATATATATATATATATATATATATATATAAATTCTCGTGGCTCTGTGGGAACAGGAATGTTATTAGTTTTTGGGTTTTGCCACATTTTTGTAGCTTTTTCCAAAGCTGCCCCGTTTGTATTTTTGCTGTTTTATCCATTTTGACAATTCAAAACCCAAATAAAAAATATCATTTCATGCTCTTTTATTAATTAATAACCTTAGGCTAAATGAAAAAATAGATTGTTAAATGTGGCATTCTACCCTAATCATAGCGTTGTAGTTCCAATCATATTATTTTCAAGGCATTGTACTTTAATTTTTTTTTTTTTGAAAGCTTTGATTCTCAGGAGCCACGATTAAATCAACAGTTAACCAACTCTATCAACACCATTCAACCACCAAGAGTTTTATGGGACCGTTGCCTATGTTTGCTGGCCAATCCTGAAATGGTCATTAGGAAACTCTGTTAACTTGAGTTACAATTTTTGATGTTTTATCAATTTTGCCAATTCAAAACCAAATTAATATCAAAACCCGATTCACTCCATGCGAAGCATTGGCTTCTCCTAATTATATATAAATATATATGGTCACATAGGCACATCAATCAAATATCAAATAAATAATATATATGCTAGGTTTGGTTAATGAAATAGGTACGGTTTTACTCGGTTATTCTCCACAGACAAAAAACTCACAGATTAAGAAAGTGTTAATTAACATTAACTTTATACAATAAAATAACAGTTTTGTCTTTACTTTGTATTTAATGTTCCATTAAATGTTTAGTTGGTTAAGTAATAATGAGTGTGTATTTTGGTAAAAATGTTACTCCCTCCGTCCCAAAATTATTGTCCACAGAAAAAAAAAAACACACAAAGTAAGGAAACATTAATTACACTAACTTTATACAATAAAATGTCAGTTTTGTTCTTACTTTGAATTTAATGTTCCATTAAATGCTTAGTTTGTTAAGTAATAATGAATGAGTATTTTTGGTAAATATGTTATTTATTTTTAAAATTTGACTATTATTTTGGGACAAACCAAAAAGGAAAGATGAACTATAATTTTGGGATGGATGGAGTATTTATTTTTAGAAGTTGACTATTATTTTGGGACAAACCAAAAAGGAAAGATGAATTATAATTTTGGGATGGAGGGAGTAACATTTTTACCAAAATACACACTCATTATTACTTAACCAACTAAACATTTAATAGAACATTAAATACAAAGTAATGACAAAACTGTTATTTTATTGTATAAAGTTAATGTTAACTAACGCTTTCTTAATCTGTGATTTTTTTTGTCTGTGGACAATAATTTTGGAACGGAGGAAGTGTGTGTGTGTGTGTGTATATATATATATATATATATATATATATATATATATATATATATATATATATATATATATATATATAGGGTCCGGTTCTAGTGATGAATCTTTTTTCGGTGATGACACCTTAAAAGAATTGAATTTTTTTAAAAAAAAAAATACAAATCATAAAATCGAGCATAGTACTATATTCGGGAGAAAAAATTTGAAATTTTTTTTGCATCATAAAAATTGAATCATAGATCATAAAAATGATATATGCTTATATTTTAATGATCCAATTTTTTTTTCCAATTTTTTTCTCTCTGATGTAGTACTATGCTCGATTTTATGATTTGTATATTTTTTGGATTTTTTTTCAATTTTTTGATGGTGTTCTCACGAGTACTCACTTTAAAATGAGTCCTTATCCGATCATATATATATATATATATATATATATATATATATATATATATATATAATATATATATATATATATATATATATATATATATATATATATATATATATAGTAGTAATAGAGAGAGAGAGAGGATCGGATAAGGACTCCTTTTAAAGTGAGTACTCGTGAGTCAGGTTCATTTGAGACCATGCTAATTTTGTGAAACCATGAGACCAAATCTAAAAATAATTTTAAAATGCAAAATAAAAAGAAAAATCCAAAAATTCTTTTTTTAATTATTATTTTCGGAACTTTATTTAACTAAAAAAAATAAAAAAAATTACCGTTTTTTTTGAAAAATTCGTGAAATATTCTAATAGAATATTACACTGTACATTTCTAATATGATTTTTAGAATGTTTAGAATATTCTACTAGATTTGCCAGATATGTAGAATATTCTAAATATTCTATTAAAATATGTAAAAAATGTATTTTTTTTGTATTTATTTTTTATTTTTTTTGGTATTTTTATTTTTTTGGAAAATATATATTCCGAAAATAATATTGGAAAAAAAAATTTCAAAAAATTTCAATTATTTTACATTTTAAAAATGTTTTTGTTTTATCTACTAAATTAGTGGCTATGATTGCGTCTCACGGTCTCACAAAATTAAGCTGTCTCACATGAACCTAACCCTATATATATATATATATATATATATATATATATATATATATATATATATATATATATATATATATATATATATATATATACTAGTAGTTTACCCGCGCAAAGCGGCAGGCAGCGATTAATTCTTTTTGGTGAATAGTTTCATTGCGATTTTTATTTTTATTTCGAAAACATGCATTTGATGGCGATTGATCATAAATTAGTTTTCGTGGTGGACGGTAAATAGTTTTCTTTCAGGGAATTGTATCTTTCGAAAAAAATGCATTCAATCGAAAAATATCATTTACTGTTATACATTTATATATAACTGGAGACCACGAATAGTCATAGAAAAACTATGTCTAATTGGAAACTATTTTGTATTCAATTTTAAATGAATCTTATCACCATCAAATAGACAAAGAGGGAATATATGTTGGACAATAATATTTATTATCCAACACAATGATAGATGGCTATCTATTGATTATAGTATAAATGGTATTCTTTTTAATATTTGCATATCAATCGTGTATCATTATTAAGACGATGGACCAAACTTAGAATGAAACATGTTAATTATTATTTTTTGAAAAAAAAAATCTATGTTGCATTAGCGGTTTTTGAAATGTTGGAACCGAAACCTGTTACACCGGTTACGATTTAGGAACCAATTTCGATTTTCGATTTATAAGGGTAAGAAACTTTCATGGTGTAAAGTCATGTGATTATGTTGTGGAGATTTGGTTAGAATATTTTAAAATGTGATCCTATTTCAATTTAATTAAATTGTCCGATGCATCTTTAAAAGATAGTTTCAATCCAATTATGCAATGGAATGTGAATCACCACTACATTTGAGAACTAAAAATGTTGTTTTGAAGCATAGATTATTAAAGATGTTGGGTCATTTCCATCTATTTATTTAGATATTCTTGTGGTATAATATATTTCGGAATATCACATGTGTTTCTTTGAGATATTATAAATAAAATTAATCAGCGAAAAATTCTTAAATAGCAATAAATGTTTGAATTTTGTCATATAACAAACAAAATATTATTATTACTACATTTATTAGTCTTTTTTTATTTTAATGGTAATTATTATTATTATTATTATTATTATTATTATTATTATTGTTATTTTGTCTTATTTTCACCAAAGATCCTTAGGAAATTAAAATAAAATATGGTTCTCGTTCACTTTATCATTTTTATGTTTGCATTATATATTCTAATAAAACAACAATTTTCATTTGTTTATTATGCATTGTTTTTTAATTTGAAAGCCCTTACATTCCACTTTGAATATATTTCCATATCTCTAAATCAAAATAGATGTTCCTTAGGGAAGATTGGCATATTACCTTTTATTATTCTTGAAACGATATCCCCACTTTTTTCATCTCCTACAAACCAACTACAAACCAAAAATCTAAATTATACATCAAATTAATGGAACTTTTGACCATTAACATATATTTTATGATTATACAGGTCCAGGTGATATGCAAAACGATGAATTGATTAAATTCGTTCTTTTCTAGTTAGTAATTACACAACAAAACTACCAAAAATAACCCCCTTTAACTAAGTCCCTCCAACAACCAGGTCAAATTTAAAAATGCTACCTGGCATTCCATTATCGGCCTAACAAACATGTAAAAGAAAATAGATTACTTGCAAAAATAACTTAATAAGATAAAACAAAATAATGTGTATATATATTAACTTCAAGACTTGATAGTATCGACTAATACAATTGTTAAGATGTAAAATAAATCAAGTTGACATCTACGAGAAATTATAAACATTTGCATCCTATAAGTTAATAGTGATTGCAAAGGGACATACATTGATTAAAAAAACAGAATAACAAACCTCTAGGAAGACTAAATGAATCAAACAGTGAATGAATACCAATAATAAAGATTGAGGTGAATCAATGTCGAACATGACTCTCATCTATAATATTTTATTGTTTTCAGAGTAGTACATCTTGTTCCTCAAAAGTAAGACTTGGTAGAATCTATACCAAAAAGTGATATATTATATTAGTGAATTATGATAATACAATTCAAATGAACACTATGTTGTGAGACATTCATAATAAATTTATAGAATTGATTAGAACTTCTACTCATGTAGAATCAATCTTTGAGATATACAACAGTTGCCAATTTCTAGCCATAATGCCAGTTTTCTTGGGCAAAAGGCAGAAAGAGGGGGGGGGGGGGGGGGGGGGGGCAGTGACGAAAACATAGAACAACCAATCAAAAAGGTGGAATGGTTAAGTATTAGAAAGTAAGTCGCATCATAACAGCTTAAATTGAAAAATGAAGCTATTGACATTGGATCACATATGTTCAAGAAACCACTTTATGCACCACACTCTTGTACCTTCCATTAGTTATTTACCTGAAAAGGGTGATGTTTTAATAAATCCTTTAGCATTTCAAGAGACTGGTATGATTCTTGAACCAAAAAGTACTTTCAAATCTAGGATTAATGTCAATTCTGTTGAGATACAAAACAATGTAATATGAAAAAGATATTCCCACTATCAGAATACTATGTAATCAGGACTCAATTTCATAACCATGGAGACCCACAACAAAATTAAACCACATATCCAAATAATCACAAAAACCTTACAAATATTAGGCTTCATCTTCATATGAATTGCCAGATGAGGAAAGCCAATCAACATCATTCCATATATACACTAGTAAATGTCCAAGCAACACAAAATGATGCAAAAAAAATATAAATTAGAAACATAAAATGATACAGGAAATTGATGAAAAGGAAGAAATAAACTAACAAAAATCATATGAAACTGCAAAACAAAAGGTTGAAATTGTGTAGAAGACGAACCTGAGCAATGTATCGTACATGAATAAAGAAAACGACCTTCTTCCTCGTTTTTCTTTCTCTCCTTCGTATATATCTCAGATCTGCACAAAGAGAACAATAACTAAAGTGATTTAGCTCATTCATATGTTAGAAATTTGGATTGTACGCAATAAAGGTAGGTAGTGTACAGAATCAAATTAGATGAACAACTTGAACAACTGAAATTGAGAGAGAGAAAGAACCTGAATGAATTTAGGGGATCAAATCCAGTTTAGGGTATATTTACTGATATTAAAAGGAATTTACAAATTAAAACCAGAAGCTTGAATCCATATAGATTTAAGGCTCATCTGTGATAACATACCGTAGATCTAAATCGGTGGTCAACGAAGAAGAAGAAGAAGAAAGTACTGATGCATTTGATGGTGGTTGTGTAATTAGAGGTTGCGACGGTGGCAGCAGTATAGAGCGGTGAGTGATGGTGGAGGTGATGCTGAGTGTGAGTGGTGTTAGATATGAGATTGTGGCGACTGCATCGATGGTAATGGCGGCGGTGGTGAGTGGTGTTGGTCACTGTCTACTAAGAGAGAGGGGAAATATGAGAAGGTGGTGTGGTGCCAATGAGCGGATGAAGCAAAGACGTTGGTGTATGGTGATAATGGGGGAGACTGGAAGGAGGGACAGGTTTTTGGAATTTTACCACTAGAAGATAAGAGATATAGGCGACGGGAAGCCGATGCTTGGGCTTGAAAATTAGGGATTTGAATGAGTCTTCAATATTTTAAGCAAAAATATTAGGTCGATGGCGATTTGAATTAGTCTTTGTACCACCGGTTCTTATCGATTGTCTGATTTGTTGAGTTTGGAAGGAGAAGCGGACGTTCAAACATCCACCATAGCAGTGATGAAGGGGGGCCACCGATGCAGGTAAGCGATGTCGTGAGGGTGGTGACCGGTGATTGGGGGCGGCAGTGGCAAATGAGTTTTTTGGTTAGGCTTCTACTTTTCAGGGAGAGAAGGGGGATGAAGGAGTGTGAATGATCCAATCATAGTGGTGATTGCTTTCTGTTGTTCGCTTGTGAGTTGTGACCTAACAGTGGTGAGAAAGGAGATGTTATATAAATGGTAGTTGGTGTTGACCGATTCATTATGCTGCTGAAAGTGTGGAATACCAATTCTGGCTATTTTTTCTTTTATTTGACCAGATAAGATTGGGATGCATCAATTTATTGTAAAAAACGCATTGGTCTTGTACCTCTTAATTTTCAGCCTTTGATCAAATTTGCATAATAAGTAATAAAGATATATATATATATATATATATATATATATATATATATAGGGACGATCCTACGTATATTCAAAGGGTGTCCAAGGACACCCCTTACTTTGAAATTTTATTTAGAGTATATAAGATTTTTTTAGGACACCCTTGATTTTTTTAGAAGGACACCCATGAATTCTTTAACCAAACCAAATCAATAATTCATACATAATTGTAACATATTAGTATAAAATTTTATAAAATGGAAACAGTTAGAAAAAATAGGAAACGGAAAATAAGAGGAAATGAATAAGCAAAGAAATAAAAAATGATATGGAAGACGGGTAAAAGTTAAAAACTTGAAAAAAAAAAGCCATAAAACCCTAAGAAAAATTACATAATCTTTGCTCTTTGATCACTGTCGTCATGCTCTACCATCTTCGTCGTCGATCGTTGTTTTCTTGTCGCTGGTAGAATGGTCTGGTCTGTTGTCCATATCTGCCATTTGCTGCCCTTCCTGCTCTTTGTTGCCCCTCCGTGTCGTTTTATGCATATATCTGCTGTCATAGAGACCATATACGCTGTTTGATGTGTCTATCGACATTTGCTACTCTCGTCCGGCGACAACCTTGAACGACCTGCTTTGGTGAACTTCTCCATCTCCGGTTGTGGCTTCCCCCTTTTTATGTGAGTCCATTCTCTTTCTCTCTTTTTTTTTTTACTTTGTAAATTAAAACAAAGAAATCTGAAAAGTTAAAAAGTCTAGCACTGCCTCTGCCATCCTTGATTATTGTAGTACACGAAAAGTCTATGTCACACAGTCACAGACAATTCCCCCAGGCCCTACCACTAGCAACATGGCTAGAAAACTTTTTTACCAATTTCCATTTTGTCAAATTACTAGGGTAAATCATATTTACTCTTTTGTCAAATTATTAGCATAAGTATTTGTTTCAAAATCTGTAAATGGGTAGTAAGGTTGTATTAGTATGTTATTAGTTGTTTAATTAGAGTTAGATTTAGGGTTTTATAGTTTTAATAGTGATGCTTTCAAATTAGTAAATGGATGGTAAAATTGTATTAATGTCGCCTTAATCGTTTAACTTATAGTTCAATGTAAAATTTGTAAGAGTTTTTGACCATTGTCTTTTATTTCAACAATAATGTTAAGGTTTTTTTAAAAAGAAAAGCAAAACAAAATCTTTTTGTCTTGTGATCAAGAAAAAACACATAGGAACGATGAAAAACTATCCCCTTCAAAATATATATAGAAGTATATTTAACCTCTTAATCTTCAGTTTTAAAGTTTATTATATTTGTCTTGGATAGTTTATTAACAATCTGACCCAAAAAAAACAATTTTATCTTGGTGCTTTAGTTACCCAATCTGAGATTGACACCCGTGAGTTTTAGTCATAGATTCGTCACTGTATATATGTATATATATACACACACGTGCACAAGTTTTTTTTTTTTTTTTTTAATTTTATTTTAACAGCATGCGCAAGTATGTAATGCATTTGCGAAAGATTTTGCATGTTGTAAAAATAATTGTTCAAATTTTATTTGCAAATTTCTAATGTTAGCGCATGTTTTTTTACGCTAACCTAATGTTACAATTTATGTTAATTTCCTTTATTCCATAACCTTTTTATTCAAGGAAATTTTTTAGATTTTAGATTTTATTTGAAACCGAATAAACTAAAATTGATTAAACGTAAACTTGGTTAGGTTAATTAGGGTGCTATTAGCTTGAAGTTGGTAGCAAGTAGCTGAAAATTGTACATTTTTTTTGTTATATGAATGTTTGACTAAAATAGCTGCAAGTATGGCTGTAAACGAACCGAACGAACACGAACAAAGGCTTGTTCATGTTCGTTCGTTTAAGTTAGCCGAACAATCGAACGGACACGAACGGTTAAACGAACAGGGTTTTTTTTGTTCATGTTCATTCGTTTAACAAATTGTCTTGTTCATGTTCGTTCGTTTATGTTCGTGAACATGCTAAACGAACATAAACAAACAAAGATAAACAAACACAATTGAACATATATGAACATAAACGAACTATAATATAGTAATGTAAGAAAAAACAATTGAAAATATACGAACATAAAAAAAACTTAAACGAACGAACATAAACGAACCTAAACGAACAACATAAACGAACGTTCACGAACATAAATGAACGAACGAGACCATTGTTCATGTTCGTTCGTTTAACTAAACGAACGAGAATTTGTGTTCATGTTCGTTCATTTATTAAATAAACGAACATAAACGAACTTCCGGCCGAACAGTTCCCAAACAGTTCACCGAACGTTCAGTTCATTTATAGCCCTAGCTGCAAGCGTTTGAAATATATAAAATTACATAAAAAGACAATTGTTTTAAAAAAATAGTACATTTCACGAATCGTCCTTTAGTTTTTCAGTTTTTCCCTGAAATGTTCACTAGGAAACATTTTTCCCTGAGATGCTCCTTACGGAGCAAACTTTGCACACAAATGGTCCTTACCATTGATATCCGTTAGATGGATCCGTTAAGTTGAAAGAATTTTGGATAAAGACTATTTCTGCCATTTTGTGAAACTTGCTTAATAACTATTTGTCAAATTTTATACAATAACCATTTGAAATATTACAATTGTAGTCTCTTACTTTTCTCTTTTTACATTTTCGACCCTCTTTTTTCACAACTTTGTTATTAGGGTAAATACACCATTTGTCCCTCGTGCATATGCCCAAAAGCACTTTTAGTCTCTATATTTTCAAAAATTAACGCGGACCATCCCTGTGTTTGTTTTTCTTGCATGTTTAATCCCTCAGGATATAAAAAGACTAATTTACCCTTGATAGTTTCGTTTTTATTTTTCTTTTGTTTATTTATCTTTTTTTAATTAAAAAATAAAGGAAAAAAATATATCTCCACTAAACACACTACCCCTCCCGCCTCCCCTTTCCCCATATCCCTTCTACCCATTCGTCTTCATCTTTCTCATCTTTTTCTTTGGAGTCGTTGAATCTGAATCATCGGAGCCGCCATTGACGGAACAAAAAGGAAGCACTGTGACGTTGGTTCCATACACGAATAGTAACCCGACGTTGTTGTCCTTGTGGCCCTAGTACACTAATTCTGTCATTAGGTTTATGGGAGGAAATGGTGACCTGAAAGTTGGAGGAAGGGGGGAGGATGAGGATATGGGTGGATTCATTGAAGGAGTACATGGTGGCATCTTGGAGCTGCTGAAAATCTGACGAACCCTCTTTTTCACCCACTCTTCCTTTGCATCAATATAAAAGCCACCATCGTTGAGTGGTACAGGTACCATCACTAACATCTTTTCACGCCAATGAATCCTCCGAAGAACTTAGTTATGCTTCCTTCGCAGCGCCTCCAGTCCAGTGGTGCTCTTGGAGGCATCGGGAGATCTTAGAAATGAGATGATGAAGGTGAAGGTTCAAAACCCTAGGTGGGGTCGATGGTGGAGGGTTGTGGTTAGACTACTCATTGTCGAAGTATTATTCTGGGATCGAGACATGAGTTACTTCTAGTGTTTCTGGTGGTGATAGCGATATCAGATTCTGGTGGTGGTGGTCGCATCAGATTTCGTTGGTTCTGGTTGTAGTATATTCGACGACTCTAATTATACAAAAAAAATTTAGGGGAAAGAGGGTGGGTGGGGTTTATTTATTTATTTTGTATTTTACAAATAATTGTAAAAAAATAAAAACAAATCAAAAAAACTAAAAAGGATAGAATAGTCATTTCATGTCTCACATGGGATAAAACATGCAAATTTAAATTAATGAAGGATGACATGTGCAACTCTTAACCAAACGAGGGACGGTCCGAGTTAATCTTTTAAAACGACTAAACGTGCTTTTAGCCACATGCATAAGGGACGAATGGTGTAATTTACCCTTGTTATTATATATTTTTTAAAGACAAAATTACAAAAATGGTTCTTGTGGTTAGCCAAAAGTAACAAAGTTAGTCCCTGCTAATTTTTTTGTATGCGTTTGGCCCTTGTGGTTTGCAAAAGTTGTACTGGAGGCCCTTTTTCATAATTCCATCAGTTTGTAGCCATTTGGGTGATTAAGTTCAAAAAATTTGGGGGTAGTTTGGTCTTTCCACATTAGCTTCTCCATCCCTTTTAAAAAGCCCTAGCCAACGTTCAGAAAAATCAAGCAACCATCTCTGAAAAAATTGAAGCTCTCCTCTCTTCCAAGAATGGTGATTTGTACGTATGGAAGTGATGCTGTGAGATTCACATCTTGGACAGAACTCAACCCAGGAAGGTGATCTGGTCTTGTGCTAGAACTGGTCGAAGCTGTACATTTCTTGGGTGGGTGGACGATCCGATGTGCCATTAGGATGTGGAGGTGATTCCTGGCTTGCTAAGGAATCTAAATAATGTTGAAATGATGTTGATTCAAGCTCCTTCATATGATGTGAAGATGAAGTGGATACTTCTTCTCTCTTGGTTCTTTTTTTTTTATATATATATGTAAGAACTAAGTAGGAGTTGTATTTGGGGATGTATTTTGGTCAGTATATTTGTCTTTTGTATTTTGAATATGTAATGTTGGATGAGTATATAGAAATGGAATGGGATATTACCAGTTGATTTTGGGATGGGATTTCATGTATTAGAATGTTAATGTAATGTATGGTTTTGGTTAATCAGTTTAATGGTATTGCATATTATGGTAATTATGAAACATTTTTTTATCATTGATCAAAAATGTTGGAATGGAATGGAATGAGTTCTGGTCATTTATCAAACATTGGAATGGAATGAGAAACACATAAAATCAAACATTGGAATGGAATGAGAAACACACAAGATCAAACATTGGAATGGAATGGAATGAGGTTTGGTCATTTATCAAACATTGGAATGGAACGATTAACACACAATATCAAAACATTATAACTAACTAAAGAAACTGGAAATGTTCAACACAAATTTATCATTACAACTAGAAATGTAGCATGACATATGGCTTGTATCAACTTAATTAGATTACTAATTTAGGTAGTAGCAAAATATGTAATTATCCAGATTAAACATGTTTGAATAAAAAACATCATAAAAGCATCATTACAAGTTTATAATCTTAAACAAAAGATAGCCAAATAACTTGATTAGTCATGCTTTCATGTGTATCCAACTTCACTTAGGTCCTACTTTCTACAATTCAGACTTTTTTCCCTTATCCCTCTTCTTTGCTCTTGATCCACCCACTGTAGCTTGACTTGATCCACCTACTAAACCTTGACTTTTTCCACCAACTACACCTTGACTTGATCGACCACAACACCTTGATTTGATCCACCCACTTCTCTCTGACTTGACCCCCTTGCCCTTTACATGTTCTGGAGTTATGTCCTTTAGTATGACATTTGGAACAATTGATATCCAAGAATTTCCTAGATAGGTTTGTTGACTGGTTAGTAGGCTCAACTATAGCCCTCCTCGTCTTTTTCTTGGACCTTCCAACCTACAATAATATTAAGGAAATAATAAAACTGGATGAATAAGAAACTATGTTAACAAATTTGAATCTAAG